TTTTAAATTATGCTATCGTGTTTCCAAAAATTTATTTTTCGTACTAACTTATACAGAAAATGTTCACTATTTTCAAATATGTTTACAAAAATGTATTTTCCAACTATCACTTATTTTCAAATTATACTATCACATAAATTACAAAAATGTTAGATTATACTTCATCAATATTTTTAATCTGAAACTTATTTTTAAATTTCTTGACCTAATTAATCCAGCCCTAATGTTTTCATTTTAGGCAGTATAATTCAAGTGAGTTTTTTCTTCTAACATTTTTGTTAGTAACTTTAGTAAATTTACATCACATAAATTTTCTGTAGTTCTAATTTCGAGTAAACTTGATAAATATTTTTTCAACTGAAACTCAATTTTTTAACCCGATTTGTCCCCTAATTTTTTTAAACATTCGGTTCACTTGGGCTAGGCCCACTCTGTGCGGGTACCGCCCTAGGAATCATATGTTTTCAACATAGTTTTTTCTTCAAACATTTTTGGTAGGGAACATTTTTTCGAAATATGAAGTTCAAATTTGGATTGAATTTGATAAATCTTTTAATTTGTATTAACGAAAATATGTACTAACATTTTTGCTAGTACACTTTTTAGTACTAACATTTTTGGACAATTTTTATCACATAAATTTAGATTTAATTTGATCAAATTTTTTAATCTGAAACTTATAGTTAAATCTTTATAAACTTAGGCAGCAATCAGATTTTTTCACCATCCGTTAAACTTATGCATTAATGACATTTTTCATCAGAAACTTTTTTTTGTATGTTTTTTGTTTAACCACAGTGCTATCAACACAAAACCATGTTTAAACTGATAAGTCAATTGCGTTTTATTTATATTTAAAACAATTACAACTCTCACAAATAAGAGATATTTGCTGCCTAGAATTTCCATAATAATTAAGTCTTGTGGACCCTCCTCTCCGTCTTCTTGATCCTCGATATGACAATCTCCATTCCTCAATATCCATGCGATCTTCAACCCTGCAAAATTCACATGACCGATCTCCATAGTTTTGGATATTTAATTTAGGCGTTAGGTCTAGTTTAAGCCTACAACTTAAACATATCATAATGGAGTTAGAATTATTAAAGACCCCGCTCAAAGTTTAGCAAAAAGGTTTAGTACTGTTTTAAATAAACATGAAAGTTTCTAAACAAAATATTCATGAAATCATCAATCTGTGTGCTTCGTCAACAAAATGTAGTCGAGCCTGAGGTTAAGTCTCCCCTATTCTTTCTCAATCTTTATGCGGATACTCCTCCTTTTGTTGTTTCCGTTAGCTGAAAACTGGTCATTCAGATTCATCTTAAGTTGTTCGTTCCTTTCAATATGGCCACTTTTCCGATTAGCTGTTGGTGTTTCTTGGCAATACACTTCCTGAATCTGGTCCATTGACAAAAAAATTCTAATCATTGCCTTTACTTGACTCTAAAAAAGTCAAAAAAGGACCACATCATGACATTTACCTTTTCAGCTAACCTCCTTTCGTCTCTGTCTTGAACTTGGGTCGGTGACACGAAATCATCATCTTCAATCAAAACAACCTGTATACTAAATATATTAGGAATATGCATTGCAACAACGTTCTTGTTAGGAATGAATCATCCCCACCTTCTGTTTTGATTTACTGCTTGCAGTTCCGTCTTCCATATCGTTTGCTGTTGATCCAGTCTGCACATATTACACTTGCTAGATAACGTCGTTCACGTCAAACCAAAATATTTTTCAAAACATATACCTTTTCTACATCTGCGTTCTCATCCATTTCTAGTGAACGGCTTTCATATTTGGTGTAAAGGTCCAAGATAGATCTATCTCGTATCATTGCAAGAATCCCAAAAGAAACCGGGCCTTTGTAAGAACTACTTTCGTCTCTTGCTTTGATTTGAATTTTGAAGATGCCTCTTTGATCAATTAAAGCCTCCATGTCCTCTGGGAAGTGGGTTGGGTCTCCAGTTTTCTGAAAATGAAAATCGTAGTGAGTAACCATCACAAATGTAAATTAAAAGTGTTTTGAAAAACCTTTTCAACTTCGTTCCTCAATGTTGCTGCTGTTTTACCAACAATGTCAATACATTCCCTATCCCATAAGGTGAATGTAGCGTGACCTGAGTCATCCATGACACAAACTGAAACTTTGTATCTGCAAAAGTTGGCAGATTAAAGTATGTAGTTACATATAGCCTGGTTATAGCTAATGGCAAGGGATCCATCCTAAGAAATCATGCAACCTCAAAATCCCCTCGGGAAGAGTTGTATCACATGTGATGCATCTAAACCTTTCATCTTCTGGCTTGATTTTCTTGTTGCATGTTGGGCAGCTAAGGTAACACCAGTCCTTGTAGTTGTCTAGTGATACAATCTCACCAAGTAGCCAATAGGTTCCATCCTCCTTACATATGTGGGTTACAAATCCTGATTATTTTTACAAATACACTACCTTGAATAATTTTTTACCTGCGGTTCCTTTAGCAAATCAGCAATGTTTGTGATAATAGTCTTTCCTCTAAAAACGTCCTCACTGCCTTGACCCATTGAATTTGCAGTGAAGGTAGTCATTGTTGTATTATCTTCATCTGGTCCAAACTGTGCTTTGTAGTCTTCGAACTCTGGGGTAGAACCATTTATTATCAATTTGGAAACATCATAAGATGTACCAACAAACACTTGACCTGTACAAATTGAAATCTTTCATGAACCTCATAAGAAGCTTAAACAAAGATTATAAAATGCGTCCTAGTCTTTTACCTTGATAGCGTCTAGGTCTTCCCATTTGTAAGATGATGTAGATGGGTTCCTTGTTGTGAGAAGCATAAAAAATCAGTGAACTGCTTGCAGTAATTGTTCCACAATGTGCATCCAATTCGATTTCCGCTACAAAAAAAAGAGATTCATCATAAATGAATAGGAATCAAACTCAATACAATACCATATAAGATTTTGAAGATTAGGAATGTACTCTGGATCTTCTAAGGTTAGTTCAATTAGCTTTGAAGGTTTGTTGTTAACGATCGGTGTTTGTACTGGAGTCTTCCCTACGTACTTACCAATTACATCTGAAAAAAACTTTGGATAAGTGGCCCAAATAAAATAAAATGCGTCTAATCGTTACCATGATAAAAGGCTTTCTTTATAATGATATGTAAATTTACCTATCATCAATTTGTCGTTGACCACCCTTAGACTCTGGAGTGCATCAAATTGGTGAAAATTGAACACGAAATTAGGAAAAGTTTCTTCATGCATGTCATACACCGTAGTTTTCTTGTAAAACTCCAGAACGTAGGGATGTTCAATTCCGTTGTTTTGTAGTTGTAGTAGTTATCAAGAACTAAGAAGTTCTTGATTCTAAAACACTTGTTTTCCAGCAGTTTGTTTTTATATAGATGCATGAACGGCCTCTTTACTACAACATGAATACGGTCACCCTGCATGATAGACGAATTGTTATAAAATTAAACCCGCGTTAATAGTACACAGATCCGCGTTAATACATAGATATTGCAAAAAATATCAGCATTCATATGAGACATTACATCCTCATCGTGGAAAACAACTTCCATTCGTGCACCTCCTTTGGATAGGGGATACTTCATAAGCTCTAACCACCCTTACCCTGAGAGCCCATGTTAACTTCGTGTGGTTGACTTCCTTAATCATGGAATACAAAGAACTGTTGTTTGGGTCAGGGATTTCTTTGGTTGTTGCCATGGTGGGTTTGTAAGTGTGAACTGAGACATGAGGATCACCCATATGTATAGTGAATTCGAATACTTAGGGTTTGCAAAGAAACTGAGATTATCCACTGTGCAATAAGCCTCAACCCTCCCAACCACCGCAATAAATGCCACCCAACTCCATTAATGCTCTTGTAATGAAATTGACCACGAATGTCACTTCGGATATAAAGCAAAAACTACGAAATTTTGACCAAACCTATCAAAATCGAATTGCCCACATTTGACCCGGATTCGACCCTGTAGTTTGGGCGGGAAATATGGCAGCATATCCACTTCGTTTTGTATATAAGAAGATTACTAATTGATAACCTAATGATTTCAATATATACTGAAAATCATAAAACCATGTTTTCTCACATGAAGTTCAGCTATTTTCCTGACATCGGTAATTTTAACTGTTAGTGTAGATCGTAGACCAAGGTACCCAAAGTCCTAATGCGCACTCAAGGTTCTAACCCAACTCCTGACTCTCAAGGATCATACATGATACATTTAAAGAGGATAAGTTTTTCCTTGTATCTGGCTTATATTCTCATCACTATTAGCTCATTTACCTGTTGCATATCTCCTAGTAAATCCCATTGGTTCTTGTGCAGCCCTGCTCCTATTGTAAATCCCATTGGTTCTTGTGCAGCCCTGCTCCTATTGTTTCACAAACATCACCCTGTGCTTCTATTATGCTCCTACTACCAAGTCCCTGCACCTGGAAACTTTTTAAGTGTACACCTAGTTGCCTTGCCTGGTGTGCTTAAGCGGTGAGGCACTCGCTTTTGACTACCCTGGTGTAGACCAATTAAAAATTCTACCAGCTATTGGCCATGTACAAGCAACGCTCATGTGTGCACATTAGGTGTATGACTATGAATTTGTAATTTCTAAACTTGTTAGGATATACATTTTCTTCTCTTATGCTGTTGGTACAATGAATCTAACAGATTGCAAGTCTATGATCTTCAGGCAGTTGCTAACTCAACCTCTGTGACTTTCTTGCGTGTTGTTGGAAGTGAATTGTTACAAAAGTATTTGGGGGACGGTCCCAAATTGGTCAGGGAACTATTCAGGGTTGCAGATGATCTCTCACCGTCAATTGTCTTCATTGACGAAATTGATGCAGTCGGTACCAAAAGGTAAGCTTTGGTATGCTTTTCAGGGTACAATAATGCCTTGGTGCCCTTGATAAACATTTTCCTTGAACAGATATGATGCTCACTTAGGAGGTGAGCGTGAGATTCAGCACGCGTGCCATGTTGGAACTGCTTAACCAGCTGGAAGGTTTTGATTCAATGGGAGATGTTATGGTTATCCTCGCCACTAATAAGATCGAAAGCCTTGATCCCGCCCTACTTCGTCCAGGTAGAATTGACCGGAAGATTGAGTTTCCACTTCCTGATATTAAAACCAGGCGTACAATTTTCCAGGTAATTTATATGCATGCATGGGCACATAGCTTATTCAAAATTTTGTAACGAAGCGCAAAACAACCTTTAATTAAGTATTTTTTATTAAACTGGTGATCAGATATTCAGATACACACAGCAAGGATGACGTTGGCTGATGATGTCAACTTAGAAGAGTTTGTGATGACTAAGGATGCATTTTCTGGAGCTGATATCAAAGCAATTTGTACCGAAGCTGCTTTGCTTGCTCTAAGAGAGAGGCGCATGAAGGTAAGTAGTGTCTTTGTTACTAGTTGAGAATTTTAATTTCTTTCCTGTAACAGAGAAATATTTATTTAATGTATATGTCCAACTTCCAGGTGGTGCATGCTGATTTCAAGAAAGCAAAAGATAAGGTCATGTTTAAGAAGAAAGGAGTCCCAGAAGGGCTTTACATGTACTAGTCTCTTATTGTCATTTGATCCCAAAAATATTTTGTACTGTGCCAAGTTTTAATGACTTCTTTTATCCATGTGGTAATTTGTTTGTAAACATACAACTCTCTATCTCAGTCTATGAACACTTTGGGTTTTCACTATATGAAGTTCCATTGCTCTTTTTTTCTTATTGCTTTCTCGGTTTCTGGGACGGTAAAGGAGCAGACATTGTATGATCGGTGCAATGATGTTGTTCGATCTAAAAAGGGTAGTTCTGAAATGTCACCCATTGTATGACTTATGTTTATTCTGTTACTCAAAAGTTTAACTCTTCTTTCCATTATAATCCAATCACTATTTTTCATGGTTACAGACTTATAGTCGATCTTCCTAGTAACACTATCAGTAGTGCTGAGCAAACTTGACCCTACTCGAAAAATCTGACCGGATTTAACCGATTTTTGGATAATGGGGGTCGGTTGACTCGACCCGCACCATAAAACCGACCCTTCAGCCTGTTTCCTATGGTTCGACCCAACTCGGGTAGGGTTCTTCTAATCCCTAACTGAACCGCTCGAAAACCTGACATACCCTAAGCCCACTTCCCACAAGCCCATAACTCATAACCCATAACCCAAATTAACCACACTCCCTTAGCCCCTTTCCCTTAACCCTATATTCCTTCACCGGTAAGCCCTAAGCCCCTAACATACACTCTCTATCTCTAACTCTCTAAGTCGTTAACCCTAACTTACACTCTCTATTCTCTGACTTCTCACTTCGTCGACCACCGTTGCCGTCGTTGTAGGGCTGTAGACCTCAACTAGTCAACCTAGTGGAAGCTTTCAACTCCTTCTAGCCGAGCGAGTTGGTTACTTACTTGGTTGTGAGTCTGCAAATTGGTTCTTCTTCGAGCCATTGAGGTATAAAATACTTACACATGTTCGTATAATGGTATGTTGAGTCCTTGTTGATGCATGCATGTTCTAAGTTGTCAGTTGTGGTGTTCTTATATGTTTCTGAAAGTTGCATGTTGAGTTCTTAACACTTGATTTTTGAGTTCAGTCATGTACAGATTTGTTCAAATGTTCGCTTGTCCAGTTGTCCCTGTTAATTGTTGATGTATATTAGTGTATATATACAACTTATTGAGTTACTGTGTTACTGAATTGTCTTACTGACTGCTGACTGCTGAGCATTTATTTTTTAGTTCGCATATGTACAACTCTTATAATGCATTCATAATTTCAAATCTATTTATTTGAAATATGAATGTCGAAGTGTGGAAGCTTTATATTCTATAATGACGTGTTGCCTACTGTGGAGATGTGGTTCTGACTTTTATATATGAGTCCAGATCTGTATAGTTTGAGATGTATTTGTATACACCTATATAAGTCCAGATGTGTATAGTTTGAGATGTGGAAGCTTAGTATACACCTATCAATATATCTTGTGTTGCTTACTTGTTATGTTGTCTGTTGTACATAATTGTCTTCTTATTTTGATGAAGAAGCCTTTTTGTACTCTATTACTCAAACAAGTACAAAGAGTGAACTGAGTTCTTTAGAGTCTGTAGAGAAGTGAAAAAGCAAAGTGCTTTTATCCTTCTGTAAATCAGCTTGCTGATTGTTCCATACTTACATGTACTGATTATATTATGATTATTATCTGTGAGATATGAACTATGGTGGAATGTGGAAGCATTTTTGTTACTATGAGTTCATGGTTGCATTTTTGCATTCATTAGATGGACCCCTGTGGACTGTGGAAGCATTTTTGTTACTGTTTGTTCATGGTTGCATTTTTGCATTCATTAGATGGACCCTGAAGAAAGTGTGACATTTTCTATATCTAGATCTCAACCTCCTCTGAGTCAAGAAACAGTGGTGGAAGGTCAAACTCCTGAGCCTAACATTACCAATGAGCAGACTGCACCACTTGCTGTTTCTGGACAAAAGGAAAAAGTGGTAGAAGCCAGATCTAAGATTTGGGTGCACTTTGTCTAAATTAAGGATGAAAAGGGTGTGGTTATTAAGGGGAAGTGTGTATACTGTGCAAAAATATACTGTTGTCACTCAAAGAAACATGGAACTTCTTCCATAAGAAATCACATTCTTATTTGCATGAAAAACCCTCATGCTAAAGACACTAGACAAGCCCTATTAACCTTCCAGCTTGTCCCTCCACAGACATGTAAACCCTCTGGAAATATTGGGGTCCTAGGAACTTGGGTGTTTGATCAACAAGCTATTAGGAGAGCTCTAGGTGAAATGCTAATAATTGATGAGCTTCCTTTTAGATTTGTAGACAGACAGGGTTTTAGGAATTTTGTTGCTGCAGCCTGTCCTAGGTTTCAAATTCCTTCTAAATGGACAATTGCTAGGTTCATTTATCAAATATACCTTGATGAAAAAATGACTCTAAAAAGGAATTTTAGAGAACACACTCAGAGAGTTAGTATAACTACTGATACATGGACCCCTATTCAGAGGATAAATTACATGTGCATTACTGCTCATTTCATAGATGATCAATGGAAGCTCCAGAAAAAATAATTTCATTTGTCCCTGTAACCTCTCACAAAGGGGATAATGCTAGTAGTAATGATACATCTATTGGGTTTTTCAAGAAAAAATTAGTATCATGGGGTCGTGCTTCTTCTGTCAAAGTAAAGTATGTTCATATGCAGTGCATTGCTCACATCTTGAACTTAGCAGTAAAAGATGATCTTAAAGATGCAAACACTTCTGTCATGAGAGTAAGGGAAGCTGTTAAGTATATTAGGAACTCACCTTCTAGGCTTCAAAAGTTCAAAGATATATCTGATTTGATAGGAGTGGAAGTTAAGCGTGGTCTGCACCTAGATGTTCCAACTAGGTGGAATTCCACTTACCTGATGCTTAAATCTGCTATTTGTAATGAGAAAGTGTTTGAAGCTTATGAGGAGAATGAAACTGCATTTAGTACTGATTTGGGTACTGACATTCCTGATATCTTAGATTGGATTACAGTTGAATCTTTTGTGACCATTCTCCAAAGTTTTTATGAAATGACACTAAGAATTTCTGGCTCACTCTATGTTACTGCTAATACCTTTTTTCTGAAATATCTGACTTGTTCCTTGTCCTTAAAGATATGGTTACCTCTCCATCTGATTCTGTCAGTGCAATGGGGACTACTATGAAAAGCAAATTAGATAAGTACTGGGGTGATCCTGAAAAGATGAACTTTCTCATCTTCTATGCTAATGTGTTAGATCCTAGGGACAAGTTTGAGTATATGCCATTTCAGCTGAATGCTTTATATCGTGACAAAAAAAGTGCTGAATTCTTTCTGAAAGTGAAGTCTCGTCTAACTGAGTTATTTGTTGATTATGTTTCAAGTTACTCTGTGTTGGTGGAAGTTATAATTCTACTTTTACTTCTGGAGCATCTACGGAGTCTGGTAATATTGAAAATAGGCCTGTGTCCAGGTTTAAGGCTGATCTAAAAATGAAGAAGCTTGAGAGTGGTCAGTTAGGAGTTAAAAAATCTAAACTTGAAATATATCTAGCTGAGTCCATAATTGAGGAAGATCAGGACTTTGATATTCTAAGATGGTGGAAGTTAAATAGTGAAAGGTTTCCTATACTTTCTAAGCTGGCTAGGGATGTACTTGGTGTTCCCATTTCCACAGTTGCTTCTGAGTCCACTTTCAGTAAAGTGGTAAGGTTTTGGACTGTTTTAGGAGTTCTTTAAGTGGTAAAATTGTGGAAGCCCTTATTTGTGCACAAGATTGGTGGAGAATGGCTCACCAGCCTATCTTAGTTAAAGAAAACATTGATGAAGTAGAGAGGCTGTAAAAAGGTATAAGTTTTATGCTTCTGTCATGTTTTATTTCCTTATTCTGAAGCTTATTGTTTAAATTTCTAAATTCTAACAATGTGTTTGTTTGTTATACAAATAATGGGTGCAAATGTTGATGGTGGAGCTGCTGCTCGGCTGCTCCTACTGGATCCTCTATTGTGCCATTAAGTGTACATTTTCTATATTTTTATTGTACATTTGTGCCATTATGCGTTTGTTTTTCCATTTGAATGTGTATGAACATGACTACATGGATCTATGATTTGGCATTGGCTATGATGAAGCTTCCACTCATGACTGCATATACGGTTTAGGGTTGGTATTGCTCTTTCAGTTCATAAAATGGTAAGTTGTAGCTGAAATTGTAGCAGATGCCCCCTATTTCCCTTGTGAATGATAATAAGCATTCCGAACTCTATGAAATGTCTGATTTGTTTCTTTATGTGCTTGTTTTTCCATTTGATTGTGTATGAACATGACTACATGGATCTATGATTTGACATTTGCTATGATGAAGCTTCCACTCATTACTGCATATAGGGTTTAGGGTTGGTATTGCTCTTTCAGTTCATAAATGGTAAGTTGTAGCTGAAATTGTAGCAGATGCCCCCTATTCTCTTGTGAATGATAATAAGCATTATGAGCTCTATGAAATGCCTGGTTTGTTTCATTATGTGCTTGTTTTTCCATTTGAATGTTTATGAACATGACAACATGGATCTATGATTTGGCATTGGCTATGATGAAGCTTCCACTCATTATTGCATATAAGATTTATGGATGGTATTGCTCTTTCAGTTCATAAATGGTAAGTTGTAAGTTGTAATTGAAATTGGAGGCTGTAGCAGATGCCCATTATTTCCCATGTGAATGATAATAACCATTCTGATGTGTATGAACATGAGTACATGTTATTCCATTCTCTCATAGTATGATACTCCCATAAGCCCATTACTTGAATATATTGGTATTTGGTAATGTTGGAAGCTGTTAAGTATATGTTATATACATTATACATGTTGAATACTTTAATTATTGAATATATTACATGAACTGTGTACTAATTTAGCTCACTCTAAAGTATTTTTATTGTACATGTGAACCCCTATACCTATGTATAATGTATTATGTGCTTGTTACATTTGAATGAGTATGATTCTGTCATTCTGGAAAGCATGCACATGCTGCCAACTGTCTTTGCACCCTTGTCCCTTGCTCTG